TTCCTGAGGTACTTGAGGTGTGTGTTGTAGGAGAGGTAGCAGCTGTGGGGGCTGAGTGTGTGCTCTGTGGAGTCTTGGTGCTGCTATGTGTACCTGAGGTGGTATGTACCACAGGGGTGCCAGTTACACCCATAGTAAATGTGGTCAAGATGGGGGTGACTGGAGCTGATGTTGATTGAGACGAGGTCAACATGGATGTTTGTGGATTGTGCGAAGTAGATGTCCTCTCTGTGGAGAAAGAGCTCTTTGTTTGGGTTGTGGCACTCGTCCTGTAAGTATCAGGTGTTGTTGTTTGTGTTGGTCTTGTGGTGTCCTCCATTGTGGTTGGAGTAGCAGTCCTTCGTGTCATGGATGTTGACGGTAATGATAATGTGTGTTGGACCGTGTGGCTGCTAATTGTCATTGAATTTGATGTCACAGAGGAAGTTGAAATTAATGGCAGTTGTGTGGATGTAGTCTGAGGAGTTGAAGGGGTTGAGAATGTGATAGTTGTTTGCATAGATGTACTCAACGTGGGTCCTGTGGTGTGTATTGTACTGGAGACAGGAACAGTGGGTGAAAGATGTGTGATTTGTGGTGTATTGGGACTAGTTGTTCCTGAGGTCGTGTGGACTTCAGGGCTACTATTTACACCCATTGTTGATGTTTTCCATACTGTAGTGGGATGAAGTGATGTGGACCGTTGCTGTGTTGTTTTGGAAGGGTGTGTTAAGGATGCTGATGTGGTTTCTGTGGAGAATGAGTTTTGATTTTGTGTCGTGTATTTGGTTGTATAGGTGCCTGAGGCTAATGTGTGTGTTGTGTCTGCTCCCTTGACTGTGGTGGTGTGAAATTTTGTGGTAGATGTGTTTATTGTGGATGGTGAAGGCGGTACATGTGATGCAGTTGGCGTCATGAGAGCCTGAGATGTTGGTGTCACCTGTGATGTAGAAAGTGTTGGGTTTACAGAGGGCAGTGAGTTCTGCGTCTGAGGAAAGATAGTTGTCTGGATAGGTGTTTCTGATCGTGCAGTTGTGGACTGTTCTGTACTGTGGAAAGAAGCGGTTGGTTGAGGGTGTGTGGTCCAGGTCATGAGAGTCGGCTTGGTTTGTGATAATGTGTTTTGGGTCCAAGTACTTGTAGTAGGTGTTGGTAGGGTATTGCTTTGCCCTGTTTGTTGTGTGGTTAGGGTAGTCTTTCCCGAGAGAGGTAGTTCTGTGGTCTCAGTTGCTCGGCTGGTTGTGGCTGGACGGTGACTTTCCTGTTGGGCTGATGTCACTGTGGATCATGGCAGTGAACAATGTTCAGTTTATATTCACAGTCCTTCATATATGCTGTGCTGTGTCCCTGGACTGGGTTTTCTCTTTTCTAACTTTCTGTTTTCTAAGCCAGTTTCCTAGCCCAGTGAGGCACTTGGCTTTCTTTGGAGCATGTTCTGCTGTTTTACCATCCCTTCTGTCCATGTATCCTCATGTAACCCCTTTATCCTATACTTGACTGTCCAGTGGCCTATGGTGTGACTATGTATGGGAGTTATGCTGTGTCCATTTCCTCCTGCCGCTTGTTTGCCCCATTAACTCCCTTTCTCTCTCACCCCTTGAGCAGTACAGACTCTCTCTTTGAGTTGGATGTGCAATACTGAGGGTCAAAGATGAACATTTGACTCAGGTGCCCTGGCTTCCAATGGGCTTTGACTCACCTTGGCTGGTGGACATCCCAGGTTTTGCTGAGGTTAGTGATGTCACTGTGGTACTCTCTGTGAACTCAGCTGTGGTCTTTGTGGACGAGCTGGAGGAAGATGCTGTGGGCTTAGTTGTAGCCTGTGTCACTGGAAGCCTTGTAGGTGTTGACTTCGGTATGGATGTAGGAGGCAAACGTGATGTCATTGGTGTGGTACCCACAGTAGTCGGAGAGTATTCTGTAGAGGAAAGTCATGGCAATACCTCTCTACCCACCTGCTTTTTCCAGATGCATATTTGAGCCCCTTCCCCTTTGCTCCTGCCTTCGGGTTTCTTCTTGTTATCTCTTCATAGTTGGATGAACAGTAGTCTTGTTTCTTTCCCAGCCTGTAACTTCACCTAGCTGGAATGGGCTCACCTCAAGGGCAGTGACCACAGGCTCTCATGGGCCACTGGTCATCCCTCTGCCCACACTTCTGCTCTTTGGACAGATGTTCCTTTCTCCTTGGTGTCCCCGGCAGCATCTGGGATTGCTGCCGTGTGTGAGTGGGGCGGGTTCAGGATGGAGGCCCAGCAGATCCCTCGTATATTCTAGTGGGAATTTCAGATGACCTTGAGTGTCCACTCTGAGTGACCAGCTAGCTTGAGTTGTAAGCTAGGTCTTCATAAAGATTTTCACCCAGCCTTTCATACCCAGGGAACTCTGTGCTGAGACAGTGCCTGCAGGCATATCTCAGTGGGAAGGCGGTGATGCCTTCTCCCTACCCTGGGGTTCTACTGCATCCCCTCCTGTTTACCTCCTGAGGAGACTGTAGATTTCTTGGGGGTGGTCCATTCTGTTACTTCCTCAGTGGAAGATGGAGCTGAAGGTGGTGGAGTCGGAATCCCTGGGAAGTTGGAGGGGCCCATGGGTGTAGCTGCAGAGCTGGAACTGCGGAACTCAGTGCTGGTGGGGGTTGCTGTGGTAGGCTGTGAACCTGTGTGGGGCAGATGTACTCTCATGAATGGGCAGGACCTGGCTCTGGTGCCTCTTTGGGAAGAGACTGATCTGCCGACTGAACGCTAGGCAAAAAGGCTCAGAGTGGCTCATGAACCTATGAAGGCAACATGGACTCCTGGCAGACTTGTCTGTTGAGGCCCTGCTTCCTACTTCATCATAAAGTCAGTCAGGTGGCCAAGGGCTAAGTTTTCTATGCTATTTGCTATTTCCCTTCTGACCTGGGACTGCAAGGTACATTACCCACCCTCCCAGGACCCAGCAGATGCAGAGACTGAGCTGGTGGGGTAGAGAGAGCTGTCCAATGAAGCTAGGGTAAGCCCTAGGCGGGAAGCCTTCATCCTGTGGTACCAAGTGGGTAAGCAATCACCTGTGGTGGCTGGCGGTAGTGTGGTAGCGGGTGGTGCTGCAAGAGAAGGGAGTCATCAGGAATTGCTGCCTGACTTTCGCATTCCTCTCCTGCCTCTTTCCTCCCTCCCTCGTCAGCCTGGCAGGGAGAGTGTGAGACTAGCAGGTGCCATGGCAGGGTAGGGTAGAGCTGGGTTCATAGGAAAATTCCCACCATGTACCCAAGTTACCTTGCTGACTTGGGGTACTCTGCCCTAAGATTGTGGCTAAGTAATGACTGAGATGGGGGATAGAACCGAGGCCAAGGTGACCAGTACTGCATTTTTGTTTCTGCTGTGTCCTGTGACACTGTTCGAGCCTATGCATCAGTGTCCTGAGGGAGAGGATCTAGGAAGGAGTCACTGGGCTGGACAGGCTTGATGGTTTTTACCCACACAAGGGCTGTACTACCTGGTGACAAGGACACCTGCTAGACTTACCACAGGGTACACAGGTCCCTTCTGTGTGGTCGAAGTACTCATTCTGGGAGCAGTTGTAGCAGCCTGGGGCAGAAAAAGGTCAGACTCAGCCTCCTTTTCGCACCCACTACCGTTCTCTGCTCCCTTCTCAACTCTCCTGCCGCCACCTCCTTCCTCTCAAGTCACACCAGCTTTAAAGTCACCTTCCTGACTCTAGACCTCTGCCCTGTGTGTCCTTGCTTTGGCTCTTGGTGCCTGTGTCTTTTTTTTTTCAAAGTTTATTAAATTATAAAAGTTTCCATTTCCGTCCCTCCTCCCAACACCCTCCCACTCCCCCCACTCCCTCTCCTCCTCCCTCTCCATCCCTAAGAGCAGTTGGTGCCTGTGTCTTAACTGCCTTTTTATGCTTCTGATTTTGAGACATCTCACTATTTAGCTCTAGCTGATCTGGAACTCACTATGTGACTCAGAATAGTTTTGGACTTAGGGAAATCTGCCTGCCTCTGCCTCCCTAGTGCTGGGACTAAAGGCGAGTACCACCATGACTGGCCTAATTGCTCTTTTTTAATGTGGAAACCCCTGTCTGTCCCACCTCCTGGCCTCTCTTACCTTTTACTCTGCCAGAGACTCTAGAGCAGCAGCAACCCATCTAACTGTGGCACACCTGTCATAACCTCCCACTGTGGGGTGTGTCATTGGGCAGTTTAATTCCTTATTTTGGTTTTTAAGGCTCTTCCCCAGGCCAGAGATCAGGGCTAGTTTGTGTGAGGCCATGTACCCGTCAAGAGCAAGCCCTGGAATTCAGGACACACTTGCTGAGTGTGCATGAGTGATTGTGTGTGTGAATGAGTGTACTTGTAGGGCAGATATGTGCTGAGTAATGTGTGGGTAAATGCATACATGAGAGTGGATCTGCGTGTGAACGAATGGATGCATTGTGAATATATCTGCATGAGAGAATAAACGAATAGACCTATGTGAATACATGCACGAACAAAAGCCGCATGCACTGCATGTGCATCCCCGTGCCTGATACCTTCAATGTTTGTGTCCGGGAAAGTCCCCAAGCTGCCAGGGCAGAGACAGGGCTGGTAGTGCCACGTGCAGTTGGCCTCCTGAGCATACTGGTATTCGTTCTCACCCACCAGTGTGTGGATGTTGTAGAAGTCACAGTAGACGGCTGAGAGGAAGGATGTACATCAGCTGGCATCAAGGCCCGAGTACCAGGATGAAGGGCTTAGGTTCTGTGGGAGAGCCTGGGGAACAGCTTGTGACCCAGGGTTGCCCTGCAGGGCATCCTTTGCCAGCCTCGAGAGAGGCTTCCAGGGTAGGCCCTTGGGTGGAGCAGGTTTGGACATGGGGTGAGACACTCACGGCAGAAGTCTGGGGCCCTCCAGTCCACACAGACGCCCTTGTCCAGACAGGCCTTGGCATAGGCAGCCACTGCATCGCACAGACATTCACAGTCTCCACCCATGTCACACCCACAGGTATCACGTACGCAGGCCTCATAGTAGGGCAGGTGGTATACCTGTGGAGTGGAAGGGTCTCCTGTTGGCATTACAGTGGTGGCAGGCTGAAGTTAGACTTTGCAGCCTTGGAGTATAGGTATTGGGGGAGTGTCCTGGCACTCTGAGAAAGCACCTTCTAGTGTAAGCTGTACTTGTCAGTAGCTGCCACCTTCTAGAAGTGGGTGCTATTGGTGCTCAGTCAACCCTGCCTAGCGGTGTCTCTAAGAGAAAACTCCTGTTGGGACCAGGGTGTGGCAAACCAAGGCAGTGTGTCTCTGTCTTGCATACCTGATCCTCTCTACTTCCTTCTTCACCTTCCTGAACACAGATGGCCCCTGGCTACAGGGCCTTTGCACTGCCTGGGGTAGCCCCCTGTCATCTTACTGAGTACCAAGGATCAGGGGCTGTACTAAAAACTCTTGTCTATGAAAACACCCCTGGCCATGGCTGGTCCCTTATGACTGAATATCTCTTCTCTGGACCATGCATCCCAGAGCAGCCAGCCGTCTGCCTGAGGTGACACTTGACTTACTGTTGTTTGCTATGGTCCTCTAGTGGACAGAGGTCTGGGCACTTCAACCATCTCTTTAGCTTGTGGATGGCCCTGGCTTCTGGTGATGGGTATTCCCCTCTCCACACCTGATACCTTCAGCCAAACCGGAGTCCCGTGGTAGGAGGACTGTATCTGATGCCTCCTACTTGGAGGACAGGGCCTACCTTGCTGTGGCAGGCGGCAAAGGTCTGGCTGTTGATAATGTTGCATTTGCGCTCAGCCCAGGAGCGCCGGAAGGTATTTAGGCTACAGGGATCCACCACGTAACTTGCATCCCCACATAGTGGATTCTCCTTCCATGAGTTCACAAATTCCAGTTCACTGGATGCCACGTACTTGCTGCGTGTCTCAAAGTCATCCTTCATGTTCCCATTGGAGTTGCCACACAAGCCACAGAGGGCATCCTGTGGGAGCAATTGATGGGGAGCCATGTAGGCTTCATGGGGAATCCCTCACCTGAGACCAGCTGGGACCCATGGTTCGCTGGCAGACGTGCAGTGCGTACCTGGGTGGCGCGGCTGATCTTGATAGAGACACTCATGTGCTTGTTCCACACAAGTGTCAGGTTGAGCCTTCCAGGAATGTCTATGTCCAGGACCAGATTCAGGGGGCTGGGCTTCACCTGAAGGTGCACCAAGGGTTCTTCCCCGCTGACTGTGTAGTTTCTGCCTGCCATTGTGATGGATAGCCCCTGTATGGGGAGGGCTGTCACCATTTGCTTTCTTCTCCTGCCTACCCCAGTACCCAGGCTGTCTGTGATTTGAGTGTCTGGAAAGTAGAGGTGTAATCCAACATAATAAATTCCCATCTTTGTGAGGATCAAGATTTCAAAGCCAGCCTAAACTGCATGATAAACTTGAGGCTAACCTAGGCTACATGAGACCCTGTCTGAAAACAAGAACAAGAACAATGAAACAATGTGTAGGAGTATCTGCTGGGAGCCAGTTCTGGATAGAAGGTTCAGGCTTAGCTTCCTGGAAAGCACCTTTCTTTTTGTCCCCCAAATGTTGCACATCCCAGGGAAACTGGTGGAGACCATGTCGCCACTAATTCTGAGTGGCTACCCAGTCGGTCACCAATCTCCGCCCACCCCTTCCTGTGATACAAATGAGGAGAGATGGTGGACGGGCTGTGCAATGGATGTGGAGGCTGCGAGACCTGGGAACCGGTGGTCAAAATACAGCCCTCTTCCACCCTGTGGGGCCCAGCCACTTACACCCAGGGAGATCTTGATGGCTCGGGAGCAGGTGACTCCTGACTTCCCACAGATGACGTTCTCTGTCAGGACCTTGAAGGTAGGCTGTGAGCTGTTGGCACCACAGTCATCCTGCAGGAAAAGGTGGTAAGGAAAAGCCCTCATGGTCCCCACCTTAGCTTCTTGCAGCCTTTGGCACTGGGCTCAGTGGTTACCGTGGCCAGAGTGTACTCGCAGTTGCCATCAAACACAAAGCGCTGTCCGTCAAAAGTTATGACGTGGCCTTCGCCATAGAGGACACAGGTGGATGGGCATTGCGTGCTAAGCTGGCAGGTCCACCTTCCCTGTGAGCAAGTGCTGGGGAGATAAAGGGGGAGGAGTAGTTAGAGACAGTCCTTCCACACAAGGAGGTGGGCTGGAGACCTGGGCCATGACCCTAGGATACCCCACCTCTGAGAGCCCCACCTGGAACAACTACTTTTGGGAATCCTTCCCTGCCCAGATGGCCCTTAGGCTCTGTGTATTCAGAGTAAGGCATGACCTACCAGGTCTTACAGTCAGTATGGAGCTCAGAACCACCAGGATAGGACACCCCTGCAAAGTCACATGGGCATTCCTCTGCAGGCACACACTGCCCATCGCTATTCTCATAGAGCCCCTTAGGACAAATACAGCCAGATTCACATTTGGTGGGTACCTGGTAGGGAGACAGGGTTCTTAGTTTCTCGCACTGTGCTACCCCAGCTCCAGCTCCTGAGACTCTTACCAATGTCTTTTCCTTTTGTCCAGCCTTCTGTGGGCAGCTGAGTTTTGCTTCTAGAGAAGCCACCCTTCCAGTAATGTATTCTCCCTCCTTCCCGCCATCCCCCCTTTCTCTGTGCGTGTGTGTTTATCAGAATGGGCTGCTACATGCACAGAAACAGGTGGCCATAGTTCCCAAGCTGGAGCCAGTCCATGTCCTCACAGTTTATAGACAAAGACCCTATCCTCCAGCTACCTCGCTGCCAATCAGCTCCTGACTCAGTACCAGCACTGGCTATGGAGATGTAGATATGACTAGAGAGATATTATAGGAGCAGCATGGCCCCTGCCCTGCATCGGGCTCCTGCAGGTTTGTGGAAACCCTTCTCACTACTTACACAGTCAATGCCTGTGGCCAGCATCTGGCATGTGGGGGCACATGCAGCCCCGAACTTGTCCTCTGATGACTGGCTGCAGGACTGGAAGGTCTTGGGCTCTAGGCAGGTTTCTGCAGGGAAGAGGAACACGGGTCAGGTGGACTGGGGGACACCAGGTGGTATAGGGTCCTATGGGATGGCCTCATGGCCAGCTCCTAGTATACACTTACCCAAGAACATCTCTGCCTGCCGTGGGCAGCTCAGGCGGCCATTGATGCAGTAACTGTAAGAAAGGGGCAGGGACCCATGAGCTTACAGGTATGCAGGGCTCCTCATCACCAGGCATTGCCCAGCCCTGCCTTCCATACCATATGACTCCATTGATCATGGTTGACTGATCAGCCTGGACGAACTTGGATCCGTCCAGCAGACAGGGGCACTGGGCCTTGTGCACGCATTCTGCCTTGTGGTTCAAGTAGGTGCCCTCGGGACAGTTGCAGCCATCCACCGGCACAGCACTCGTGTGGCACTCTGTCTCACGGTCCGACAGGGACAGGCAGGTGCGGTCACAGGCCTTGCTATTGTAGCTGAACGTGCGGTTGCCAGTGCAAGGCACAGCTGTGGGGAACTAGAGGTCAGGTTCTCGGGCAGAGCGTTGTGGGGAAAGGGTCTGGGGCTTGGGGATGAGAAATGGCTGAGCAGAGGTTAAGGCCCTCAGATTCCTCAAGATGCGCACAGGGGCTCTGTTGGGGTCCAGACTCCCATTTGTCCTGTGTCCACAGCCCTGCTCCTTCTGACTCCTCTCCACCCTCTCACCACAGCCAGCACTCACTGCAGTTGTCCACGCTGCTCCTCCAGCCCAAGAGCAGGATGCCTCGGGAGGAGCAGGCATGGGCATAGGCCCCCAGTGCAGAACAGATGTGAGGGAAGGTCTCCTCGTAGTTGCAGGCCTGGTACACACACCTCTGTGGGGAGGGTAGGACCCAGGTGTTAAGGACTTCATCTGCTGCTACCACTTCCCCATCTCCACTGCCCGTTGGACCCACCTTGTAGAAGGGCTGGGGGTTCACTGCAGTGTGGCATTTCTCAAACACACTGCCCTTCTTCAGCAGCATAGAGCAGTGGGTCTCTGCACACACCTCTGGGGATAACAGGTACAGCTGTGGGTATTCTGTTCCCTCCCAATCCCGACAGGCTTAGGTGGCTGAGAGTGGGGGTGCAGGGGACTCACTGTTGAGCTGGCTCATGGAGCAGGGGTCAGTCTCACGCTCCAGGGCAGCTGGACAGTTCCCTGCACGCCATGAGTCCACAAAGAGTGAGGCGGTGCCTTCGTCAAGGCCCATACTGGTCGTGAAATCATCTGTCGTGTCTCCGTTGAAATTGCCGCAGAGCCCTAAAGGGGTGGGATGTGAGAGCAACTGAGTCCTGGCCCTCCCACCCAGTTCCTCTGTATACCCTATCTCCTCTCCCCAGCTATGCCCTTCTCATTGGTCATCACTGTCCTCAGGAAGCTGTATCTGTGGGTTCCCTGGATGTGGAGAGCCAGTGCAAGGCACTCCTGGGTCCCCTCTGCATCTAGGTGCAGCAGAAGATACAGCCAGGCAGACTCTGGGAGTGACCAGCAGGACAGTGAGTGACTCACCTCTGGTCTGGCCTCTGAACTGGGGCCCGACTGTGATGTACGCCTGGAAGACAGGCTGTAGCTGGACCACGACTTCCAGGCCAAAGGTGGTAGCCATCTGGAGGTGGGTAGATGTCTGCCTGAAGATGGTGATGTTGTCTGCAAGATTTCAGGGCTAAGTAGGCTGTCCCTGCTGCCAACCCCCAAAGACACAGCAACACAAAATTCTCAGTGCCAGACCCAAAAGGACTTACGTGTCTTGTATGGCAGCACCTTGGTGTCTCCATTGTTGGTGATCACTTCATCCGTTGAGATCACAATTTTATCCTGGAGGGGCAGAGGAGTGCGAGTAGGGAGTAAGAGAAGCAGGAGCCAGATGCTAGGTCTGTAGGCCATGGTCCCCAGCGTGTGCTTAATTCAAGGCAGGTAGCCTTACCTTCTTGGACAGGTAGATGACAGACACTAGGGAGGTCTCTGAATGTGAGTAACCTGACTTGTCATACACAGCCAGGAGGGTGCCTTTGTTGGGTAGCAGCGGGCTCTGGGGAGGTGAGTGAGTGGGGGAGGGGTGAGTGAATGGGCACACTGTTCCCTTCCCCCCAGCCCTGGGGCTCCTCCTACCTGGAGAAGCGTGTAGGTGCAGGTGCCATGGAAGCGGTAGGGTCTGGCGTCGAACGTTGTGACAAAGGAACCACCTTCTAGGGAGCAGTGCCCAGGACATGGCTGCTCTGTGCACGTCCAGCGGCCCATGGTACACTGGCTACAGGTGGGCATTGGAATAGGCCCCGGTGGATGATGAGGCCCAAGGTAAATAGTGCCCCCTCTCAGGTCCCATGCCAGTAGAACTCGTCCTCTGTACTCACCAGGTTTGGCAGGCTGTTCTCGTGATCTCCCCAGGGCCGTAAATCACACCATTGAGCATACAGGGGCACTGGCTGACTGGCACACAGGTGTGGTTTCTGGATATGTCGTCAAGCAGTGTACCTAAGGGCACGGGCTCAGGTTGGAAGGATGTTCCTTAGGCGGCCTTTCACTGTGAGGACTTCTCCCCAGCTGGCTGGTCAGTCGGTCCCGGCTCTGCCCCTCCCCCATCCCTGCCAGCCCTAGGGAGTTGCCTTGGATGACTCCACGCCCACCTCTCCTTAGTACTCTGAGGTCCTTCTTCCTCCTGCTCACTCTGCAGGGAGTCCTGGGTTCACTGGAAGTTTGGGGGTGGGGGGTGGATAAGGCCTGGACCCAGGACTGAGATATAGAATGTCTAGGCCAAGCTGGGCCAGCATGCAAGTGAGTTTGGGAGAAAGTGGGTGCTGGTATATTGTCCTCACCATGGGGGCAGAAGCAGCCGAAGTTGCAGAAGCTGGAGCAGCTGTGCTGTGGGTTGGAGCAAGTCTTGATGCAGACCTCACCGCACTCCTGGTACACCTGGTTGGCTGGGCACTGGCCCACGGCTGCAGGCAGGAGGCATGGTCTGGTAAGAAGATCCTGCCCGCCTTCCACAGTTCCCACTTCATTGTCGCGTAGCTCCTCCCCTACCCAGGCTACTTTCCCTTTGACCCTGACTAGGACTCACGGCAGAGTCCAGGGGTCCTCCAGTTGCGGACAGGCTGGCCGGCCATGCTGCAGCGACGGGAGTACTCAGACAGGGTGGCGCAGCTGCAATTCTGCTGGCCTGGCTGGGCACACTCAGCCATGTCTGCCTGGCAGCTCAGCACCAGTGACTCCTTAGGCACATCACACGCAGGGGACACCAGGGTCAGTAGCTGGTTGCAGATCTGGGCCTGAATAGAGAGCCACTCAAAGTTATAAGGGTGAGGTCACCTCTTGTATCATACATACCCAGAGCTTGGGAAGCTAAAAGTGGGGGTAGCAGAGACCCTTATATGCCCCCCCCCTCCACCGTGCCACCCATGTTCTGACCCTGGGTTCCGGGCCACCTCACATACGTATCTGGTCTTCAGGGTGGTAGGGCTGGGAATAGCCTCATAGGCACAGATCTCATTGGGATCATCTAGCTTCTGGAGTACAGCATACTTGTAAGGTTCCAGAAGTTTGCCTGGGGACATAGGACAGAGATCAGCATGAGGAACAGACCACTGAGGGACCTGGGCCTCAGCCACTCAGCCCCAAGCCAGCTTACCGTCCTCGCTTAGAAATTCATTATCTGTCTTCCCATCGAAGTTCCCACACAGCCCACACAGCTTGCCCATGTACTTCTTCTCTACCAGGACCTGCGGGGTGACACTGTTGGTCCCTGTGGGAATGCATAGGGGCTCCCCACCCAGATTTCAGGTATTCCCACCTGCCCACCCTGCCCTTTCTGGGGGGTGTAGGGTTTCTTTCCTGTCTGACTCCTCCTCCTTTTCAAAGGGGAAACTGAGCTGTTCTCTAAGCTTGGGTTCTCTTGGGTTGCTGGCCTACAGTCAGTGCTGTTCTGCCAGTCTGGGCTCCCGGGACTCCCTCTGAGGAGGGCCCTTCCTGAATGCTGTTTGTCAGCTCATGGCTCTCACCATAAGATAAGCATCTGGTCCCCACATGACAACCAACTCCAGCTCCAGCTGCTTGGCCACCAGTTGCACGCTCTGGCCGTACGGTGTGATCTGGAGGCCATTGCTGGTGTAGGGCAGGCTAACAACCCTGTGGGTAAGACAAGTTAGCAGCTGTCCCTTCTACCCCTGCCCCTGGTTGCCCTGCCCCATAGCTTACCCAATGTCCCTGACAGAGATGATTGCTTTGTTCACGGTGACCACAGAGGCCCCCAGTTCCATGATGATCCGGGAGATGTTCCCATCCCTATCTCTCCGCAGCTGGATGCTGAAGGTGGGCGAGGCATCCCCACACGTGGCCGTAAAGATATAATTGCACATCCCTTTGAACTCATACTCATGGTGGTCAAAGGTGGAAAAGTGATCAGCTCCCCACGTGGAGCACCAGCCCTTTTCTGAGGCTGCAAAGAAAATAATACATTCCCAGTCCTGGGTCCAGTGACCAGACAAGGGACAGCCTGACCCAGAAGCTGGGACCCTGGAGAACCCACCGTAGCCCCAACCCCACATGCCCACCCAGCTCTAGCCCAGGGTCTGCCTTCTGTCTAGGCCTTACAGGATTGCAGACTATCCTCAGTGTTGGAATCGGTGACATCTCCAGTCCAGGCACCTATAAGGCAGGAAGCTACAACTCAGTGTCCCCCAGGGGTAGGCACAGAGGTCACAGCGCCTTGGATGAGAGCTCTTGACTGGAGCCTGAACTGTGACTTTCATTGCTGGATCCTTCTTGAGAAAACCCCAAACCACAGTACTCCCAAGACCTGCATGCTATACTTGGGTGTGGTCAGTCAAGCATGTGTGTGTGCATGTGTGTGCGTGTGTGTGTGTTGAGGTGTGGCCCCCCTCCTTTCTGCACACGGGGCCATTGGGCCTCTGGTACTCTGGTCAACAGCGATGTGGTTGCTGTTGGCTCTCTCACCTGTCTGTGGAGAATCCTTCAGCTTCCAGGGACCTAGGCTGGCAAAGGAGGTGGTGTCCAGACCTGCATGGGCAGGACTCGTGGTGAGTGCTGTGGCCCAAGTGCATACCCCCCATTTGCCTGCCATTTGTAGCGGCAGCCTGTTGTGAACGGCACAAGTTGTCCGCAGTATGCTTAACTGAGTAGGTAGCAGGCTCTGAGGGAGGACAGAGGGCGGAGTCCAGCCCGAGCCCTGGCATCCTAACTCAGTTTTTCCCCAGCTGTAACATCTTTCCTGCTCTCATTACTTCCTGGTTAGTTCACTCATTCAAATATTCCACCTTTGGCTTGGCCTGGGCTGCATGAAGCTCCTGTTTGGTGCCTCTCACCATATTCACAGCACACGGCTTGTTCCTGCAGGGTCCCAGGAAGGTGGCACCCACTCATACAGCACACACATGCTGCTTAAGTGACTTGGAGGGATAGGCACACAAAGCAAGGGAGAGTAGTCAGCTGTCGCTGTGCATTCTGGAACGGGAGGGCAGCCTCGCTAAGGGCGTAACATGAGAACAGGGCCTAGAGTGCTTGCCACTCTGGGGCATGCTGGAGAGACGCACTGTCCTATGGCTGGAGTAGGGCTAGCAGGACATCCCTGGGGAGCAAGTGCCATGTCAGGTAGGGATATCCTAGGTATGGACGCCTGTCTGCCAGGATCACTTCCCATTCACTGCTCAGTTGAGCCAGGCTGCAGAGCCCTGCATACAGACTCTAAATGTAGGACTAGGCTCCGAGGGGATCTCCTTTGCACAGGACTCATCTCCGTGAAACTCTGGTAAGGAAGGATACAAGAGGGTGGGCCTGGGGTGTGCTGAGAGGTGACTGCGTAGGAGAGGACAGAGGGCTGAGACAGATTTTGGCTGTCTCCTCTGCCAGGCCACACCCAGTGTGTCCCTGCTCTGGCTGTCTGGTCTCCCTGTGGGTCTATCCCGTAAACTACCCAGAAGCTGCCTACTCTCCCATCTGGGGTCCTGTGCTTGGTTCTCTTCCCTTTTTCCTCCTTGGCAGCCTCTAAGACAGCTCTAGTGGGCCCTTGGAATGTGGTAACCATTGCCAAATAGCATCGGTCATGGTGACCGCCAGTCAGGGACAGGCAACCACAAGATGACTATGTGAGGCCGGGCTCTTCTGGGGTTCCCATGGGCTGTAATGTCCTGGTCCCTCTGCCAGCACCTTATCTGACACACTTTCCACCCTGCTGACCAGCTGGCCCCCACACTCCACCCTTTGGGATTTAGTTCTCTACTTGGGCCCTACCCCAAGCTCTCCTGAGGTGTTTGGGGGCGTTTGTTTCTAGCTGGGGAGCACAGCTCCGCATATACACACTCTTGATCAAGAAACAGGATGGGTATTGAGGATGGGCATCCTCCTGAACCAAGTATAGCTCCAGGAGGGTCTCACATGGAGCAGTGAGAGAGGAAGGGGATGCTTGCTTAGCTAACCAGATCAGCCAAGAATCAGCTTCCCCATTAACACGACAGATGTCACAGCCAGATAGTCCTCACGTCATCCCATGAGCTTTGGGCAAGATGCTCTCTCTGTCACTACTGCTAGTCACTTCCTGAATATGTGCACTTCTGAGTGATATCAAGAGCAAAATGGACCAGCCCAGGGCTTATGTGACTTGTGCTGAGGAAGAACTATCATGGCATTTCTGGGTGCTTCTTGGGACCTAGGCTCTCTCTGGCAATACCTGGGGGTCTGGCACCTGCCCTATCCAGTGATTTTTAAGGGTGTGAAGAAGGGGCTAGGTTCCCTGGTCAACACCCTCAGTAGCTCAGATTTCGCTGTCTTTCAGGCAGGATGGGAACGCTGGAGGCCACCTCATTCTAGGAGGTGTGAATAGCAAATGGTCAGGTCCTGGTCCTTCTTGGTCCCAGACCTGGGTTTGGCTCCACTGCCTCACTGTTTTGTCTAGTGTGCTCCCAAGGGGCTCCTATCCCATGTAGGTGGCTCCCTCCCCTGACAAGTTTCCCCTTTCCCGAGCCCCAGCTTGAGTCTGGCTTCCCTGATTTTCTTTGAGCGACAGGCCTTTTTGAAGATGTTCAGGAGATTACCAGCATCACTGTTGCTTCGACCAGACCATCTGCACCTTGTGTTAGCTGACTCCTCTGCCATGGCCCAAGGGGACTCATTCGTTGGTTTTCCTTCAGTCTGTTTGGTGACCTTACCTGTCTCGGGTTAATCCCACTGCCTCAGGTGTCTCCTTCCCAGCTTCTGTAGCCTCAGGTCCCATCTGGCCTGTCTAACTTCATATTCTCCCATCTCTGCCCTCCCTCTAGGCTGCACAGAGGTGGCACTCAGCCTGCTATTGGAGCAGCTCTGTCCCTTCAGCCCCCAGCCCCCCTCAGGCCCTCCTGGGACTTAGTCCCCTATCCCTGGCTCTGGGCCCAAGGGACCTGGTTCTATTCAGCACATGCTGGGTAAGGGGCAAGACAGAGTCCCACGTGATCTGGTAGGGCCTATAGGCATTGCTTTGTGGTGTTCCGTGCTACCTTTGTTGTGGACAACTGGCCTTATTTAGTGGGAAGACCATTGCTGGAGAGAAGCAGAGCAGCCTGGTGGGAGGGGCATCATGTTATTTCAAGCCTGAGACCCTCGTAGCACCTTTACCCCCAGGCTGGTTTTTTTTTTTTTTTTTTGAGGGTGGGCTCTATATGATTTCCCCGCAGAAGTCTCTGACAGCTGGTGATTGGCATGCAGAACTGTGGGTTGGGGTGGCACAAGATGCCTCCCCACGTTAACAGAAGGGGAAGTTGAGACCTGGAGCCCACCATATAGTTCTGTTAGTGGGTGATGTCAGGAGTAATGGAGCCTGGAAACTTTGACTTCAACACCAAAGAAGCAACTCTGTTAGGGTGACTCATGCCCCTGTCCCTACATACCCTAGGCTCCTCAAAGACCTCTCAGGGCCAGAGCCATGGGAGAGAGGGCAGGAATGCCAGATTTGCCCTGCTGCTACCATTGTGTGCTGCTGTCACCAGAACTGCTGAGACTGTACAAGAGGGAGCCCCACCCCCCCATTTCAGGGGAGCATGTTCCTCTCCTGGCCACCAAACCCAGCTCACAGGAGGTAGACAGGTTTGAGTAGTTTGTCGGGCCGCTTCTGCCCCCTATCCATCAGTGTCTGCGTGGCTAGCCCGTCTTAGGCAGAGTCAATGAGGCGAGAAGACCTGAAGACTCCCCCATGCACAGGGTCCTGTGGAGGGCATTGGGTGCCTGCCCCTTCCCCCGGGCATAACCTGGCAGATGCCCACTCACCAGCATTGATTAGTGATCCCCTGAAGAACAGCAATAGCAGCAGCTGCTGACCCCTGAGCATGGTGGCACTCCTGGAGCAGAAGGTGGCCACCAGCCCCGGTCTTCTACTGCTGGGCGCTTAGGCAGTCTTGCTGCTGCCTCTGCTGCGACTTGAGTGTCTGGCTCTCCGAAGCTTATATAGGGATGGTGTGCCCTTCCCCTGCCGCACCCACTTGTGCCCCATACTCCAGGCCTGTGATCGCCACCGCCTGCTGGGCACAGCAGTGGCCAAACAGGATATGGGGTTCTGCTTTATCAGGGCTCAAGACTTCATTGGAAAATTCTGCAGTGGCTGTGGCCCCATTATCTTTCTACTCCCAGTGGGGGGCCTTACACATTCACTCCAGGGGCCCACAAACACCTCTTGCGTCCGGTCAGGCTATCCTTGGAGCCATGGTGGGTCCTGTCACAATCCGTCTTAACTGCCAGATCACCATGGATACCATCAGTCACACACCTGGGTGCCTGGGATGGGCCTGGTCCAGGGGGGTATCAGAGAGCCTGGGCCTCCTGCTGATCCTGCCAGGTAATCCAGCCTCCACCCTGGATCCTGGAACCTCAAGAAACATTTGTTTGCCAGGTTTACTCCATTCATTGTGAGTTTTCTCTCCAGGAGAAAGATCACCTGGGGAGGGGTCCTGCTACCTGTACTTGAGGGGTTCCCCAGCACTGGTTGCTGTGATTTGTGTTCTTGCTCGGTAGGTGAAGTTACCTTTGCAGCATCTCTGTGGGTTGAGTGAGCTGTGGGGTTCCCTTAGATAGCTGGCCAAACCTACTGGGAAGATGGACTCCTGGGAATATGAGAGGTGGGGGCCAAAGGTGGGGTGCATTGCAGGCCCTTAAGGGGCTAATGCTAGGGTTAGGACAAAGGCTAGGCTGAGGGCCAGAATCAGGGTTAAGGTTGGGGTGAGGAAAGAGCAGGTTCTTCCTTGAGACTATCTTTCAGCCAGAATATGAGTTGGGATCCAACAAACCACTGAATTTGTCCAGTCCCATTGGGAGTCAGGGGCAAGAAACAGAGATCTCCTGTTGGTGTTTTTGGTCACTCCAGTGAGTGCTGAGGGGAGACACTTGCACCCCTGAAGGAACTCAGGACCAGCCCTTAGCTGTGTCCATTGCAGGCTTGGTATTGGCTCTAGCCCTACCTGAGTCTGGATTCCCAAATGAGCCTATCTCATAGCCAACCTAAGACAAGCCCCATAGCCTGGACCCGGGTTGTCTCCTCTGGTCTCCCGTCTCTACACTGGTAGCTCTCAAGACTCTCTTCTCCCTTGGCTCAGAGCAAACCCCGCAGATCCTGTGACAAAGCAGCGGATGTTGTTTGCTGTAAATAAACCTCAGCTTTATCAGGATGTTCTGACCTTTAGGTGTGGCACTGTGATGCAGTGTGTGTCTAGCATATTTGAGGCCTCGTTTTGACCTTAGCACCATCCCTCAAAGAAACCAGCAACTCTCCACCGAATCAGAGAAATAACATGATCTTTACAGAAACTCCGAGTTCAGCCTCGGGGGGCGGAGTGGTCATTTACTGCTGTGTGTGCTTCTGGGTGGCCTGTTGTTGCTCTTATACTTTCTTCTTTCCTTCCTCCCATCTTTCTATCTAATAGATTTATTTGTCTTGTGTGTGTGTGTGTGTGTGTGTGTGTGTGTGTGTGCATGTGCACATGTGTGTGAGCGCCATAGTGTGTATATGTGCACCATGTGCATGTAGGTGCCTGCCTGCAGAGGCCAGAAAGGGTTGGAACCTGAGTGCATTACAGGCAGTTATAGGCTGCTGTGTGGATACTGGAAACTAAACCTGGATTATTGATAAAAGCAATAGGTGCTTCTTTTTTTTTTTTAAAAAAAAAGGTTTATTTATTTTTATTTTATGTGTGTGAGTATTTTGCCTCTATGTATGTCTGAGCACTAATTGTGTGACTGGTACCTACAGAGGCCAGAAGGCATCAGCTTTTCTGGGACTGGAGTTATATATGGTTGTGGGCTACCATATTGGTACCAGGACTTGAACCCTGTTTCTCTGGAAGAGCAACCAGTGCTCTTAACCACTGAGATAACAGTCCAGTAATGGCAACAAGGGCTCTCGATGGCTGAACTCTTTCTCTACCCTCTTAGCAATTTTTCTCCTTTTTAGTTTTCATATTTTGATTTATATGTATGTGGTATTTATGTGTGTATGGGCATGTGAGTGCAGATGCCAGCGAGGCTGGAGGAGTCGGAGCTGGAGCTGGGATTCCAGCTGTAGGCAGTGTTGGGCTGTGATATTAACCACAGAGCCGTGCCTCCTGCCCTCTTGGTGGTTTCTTAGCACTCAGCAGCACCCACTCAGGCGAGAAACTGGAAACAGAGTGACATTTTCACCCAAAGTGATACAAATGGAACTTGTTTAGCTCTGACTGCAGCCTTGCAGCTGGGCTTGGGCAGGTGAGGAAGGACTCAGGGTGGACCCGGACACAGGGCAGTCATGTAGAACGGGCTTATGACCCTGTCTGGCTAGGAGCCCTGTGTCTGCTTGGCTGGATGGATGTGGTTGTCTAACAGTCTGCAGGGGCGTGTGCATGTGAGCTCATATGAGTGGCTCAGAGCTGTGCTTTCCAGGATCTTCTGGGCTGTTTTGGGCTGCATACACCTGTGCTTCTACCTGTGGCAAGAAGGTAGCTCTAGGGAGCGGCATGGCCTTTCCCGGGTTGATGGCTCCATCCTGGCGAGGAGGGGCCCCAGGAGGGCATCAGGGCCCACCTTCTGCAACACACTTGATTGGTGGGAAATCACGGCTCAATAGTGTTTTTGTCCTTTGACTTGGGAGAGCGAATGCACTGAGCAAACAGCTCTGACGGCTGAGATAGCTCTGACAGGGAGGTAAGTGTGTGTGCGCCATTGTTCCCTCAGCTATCACAGAGATAAGCCCCAGATTCCGCTGGCGGGCTTGGAAAGCGGAAGCTACAGCTGGACAAGTGTATGATTGTCCATTCTCATGTCCAGCTCAGACCCTTGCTTTCCACATCCATCAGTGTGGTCAGGCCCTGGACAGTGGCCTCCCAGGGCCTAGGCGTGGCTTTGAAGTATGGCCTAAGCCAGCTCTGGTCCTAGAGTCAGCGTCTAGAGCAGTGGTTCTCAACCTTTCTAATACTGAAGCCCTTTAATACAGTTCCTCATGTTGTAGTGACCCCCAACCATAAAATAAAATTATTTCATTGCTGCTTAATAACTGTAATTTTGCTGCTATTGTGAATTGTAATGTAAATATCTGTGTTTTCTGATGGCAAACCCTTGAAAGGTCCCCCCAAAGGGGTCATGTCCCACAGTTGAGAACCACTGATCTAGAGAGAGGTGGCCCAGGATCATGCCCAGCTAAAAGCAGGCCTCTTTGTGGGGTTGGGGGCTCTTGTCCCTAGCAGGTGCTTCCAGCATCCTCCATTATGTTTGGGTCCTCACTCCTGCCTCAGAGAAGAAGCCCCAAACTCTGGGTTTGCTCTGTCTCTTTCATAGAGGTACAAGAGTTAACACATTGGTCAGACCATCCAGACCATCTGTCCCTGGCTTCTGGGCTCATCTGGGTTAGGCGTGACATTCTCTGGGGGAAGAGCCGGTGTTTTCCTAATTCCTTTGGCTTGGCAGTCATACACCATCAGATGGAAAGACTTTAGCGGGAGGGTGTTTGTGAAAGATGTCCACACCAGAAGTAGGAATTCTCCTTTGTGGCTGAGCCCTGCTTTAGGGGGGGTGAGCCAGGACCAATCAGCCAGTATGGACTCTGGGTAGAGGTTGATGCTCAAAATTCCCAAGAACTGGGTATAGAGTGTGGGGCCATGGGCCTGATGTTTCTTGAAGGTTGGGGGTGGGCTGTCTATACCTTGGTGGTCAGTGAGCTTCAAGGCTGGCTCATAGGCACCTGCTCGTGAGGAGGTGGTGGGAACTGGTGACCCTGAACACAAGTGGCTGAGGAATTTCAAGCCTTGGAGTGGGAGTCATGCTGCTGTGTCCTGTGTGTAGTAGGTGGCAGTGAGCCTTGTCCTCTGTGGCTCAGTGGGACCTCAGCTTCGTTAGCTGTACCAGAAGGGACTGTGCCCTCCTCCCCCTCTGTCCCAAGTATCAGTGGTCTGCCAACCCCACCCCAACCCCAATTCTCATATGCCCTGGCCTCCTGGTTGTCTTGGGAGTACACAGGAGATAAAGTCGTCCTGGTCCACCTTCTCCAGGAACCTGCAACTCTTGCCCTAGGATCCTACCGGCTGGTACTCCTACCTGGAGCCACGCTGTGCTATTTCCTACTAGCTCTACAGAATGTTCAAGATCCTATCTAACTCCTGGCCTCTGGTCCCCTACTCTCGCCAACTCTTGTTTCTCTGGCTCTTGTAGAATTTACCCTGAGCTGCTGGAGTTAATTCTGATGAAGATAACAATGAAACTAGGAAATCTTGTGCTGTGGCTCACAGTTGAGGGTGTATGTGCCCTCCACAGCCCCTTTGGTGACTTCCTCAGCTTCTACCTAGCAGAGTGCCTAGACTCCACCACTTGCTTTGGCTTTGTCTCTTGGCCTGGGATTTGGTTGTGATCAGCCCCTCCCTCTGGATAAGGGCCCTGACTTCTGGCCTTGGCAGAGAAGTGACTACCTAAGGTAGGTCTTACCTGGGTGGGATGGAACTGTACTCTGAAATGGATGGAGAGCTCAATATCATACTCCTCTGGCTGGGACCCTATAGTCCCTTTTGTTCATGGATGTCTTGTATTGGTACTTAGTAGAAGGAGTGCAGGTAATAGGGGTGGCATCAGAAAGGGGTGCTCAGTGGGCCTGAACTCCCAGGGAGCCAGTAGGTCTTAGCCTGGGGTAAGGGTGGCTGTAGCTGGCACCCATCTTCTTCTTTTTTCTTCTTGAGATCTGGTCTGATGTAGCCCAGACTGGTGTTGACTTGCTATGTAGCTAAGGATAACCTGAACTACATCTCCTCCATCCTCTACCTCCCAGGAGCTGAGAGTCAGCCACCAGACTGGATATAGGAGGTGCTGAGGATCAAATTCAAGGCTATGTCTATATTGGTGAATGTTTTACCAACTGAGCTACACCCCCAGTCTGAGATACCCACCTTTTGACAGGAAGTCTGACTCAACTGTCTGTTGGGTCAGGGAAGACCCTGCACCTCTGAGTCCTATGCTGGACTTCCTCATACCCTTCATTCTGTGTGCAAGTGG